CGGTGATTAGATCTTAATTAAGGCAAACACAACCAACACGACGCCCCTCGCTCCTCGCTCTGCCTGAGGGCGATGCTCTCAGCCCTGTGCAGCACCTCATCAGCCTGCACATCCCGGTCCCGCCTCGGCGCTCTGTTGCTCACAGCACAGCACTGCTTCCCGCACGCCTTCACCAGCTTCCGCAGCGCTCCGTTCTCGGCCGTCTTCACGTATTCATCCAGCGAGCCGCCCCCCAGGTCTTCCTTCCTTGTGAACACCACCATCATACTCTTCTTAGCGCCCTTCCCAAAGAGCTTCTGCACGCTCTCCTGCACCTCGCGGTCCTCCCGCGTGTAACGGCCCAGCTGTGTCACCAGCAGCAGCACGCAGGGCTCCCGGGCAGCGAATCTGTTGCAGCGCCGGCGCTCCTCGGCCAAATGCTGCTTGTCCCACTGAGAGCCCCCGAAAATCGCCGGGGTGTCCATGACCACCACGGACCACTCGCCCCAATCCCGCCTGCCGTCTTTGCACGTGGTGGTGACGGGTTGGGACGCCAGCCGGGACTCGAAGCGCTCCTCGCCCAGCAATGTGTTGCCGGTGGCGCTGCGCCCCGCTCCGCTCCGCCCCAGCAGCACAACGCGCAGCTCCGGCCGCCGACCTGCGGGGACAGCGGGACACGGCTCGGATGGGACGGACAACAACTCCCGGAGAGCGGCCGGGCGGCGGCACGGGCTGCCCGGGGAGCGGGGGTCGGCATCCCCACGGGGGCTCCCAACCACGGGGGTGCGGCGCGGCAGACGCGGTCAGCGGGCACCGCTGGTGGGAGGTGGACAGTCGGAGGCGGTGACCCCAGAGGTGTTTCCCAACCTTAAGGACTCAACAGCTACCGTGATTCTATGGCTGCAAGCAGAGAACGCTGCGGGAACGCCTCCTGACGGGGAGTGAGGGCGCTGTGGACCCCGACCCTGGGGAGTGAGGGGTTGGGGAGCCTGTCCTGAAGGGAGCGAGGACAGCCGTGACCCCATCCCTGCACCCCAGCGCAGCGCAGCTCGGTGTGCGCTTGTGGGTCGGATCCGGCCTCTCGGACACCGCTCGGCCATCTCATCGGGGCCGCCCGCGGCTCTCCGGTCCCCCGTGGTTCCCGACTCGCGGCCGCGCTCACCTCCGCCCCCTGAAGCGCCGTCCCGCGGCTCCCCTCTCTTTTCCGCCGTGCTCCCGCACGCCCCGTCCCCGCTCTCGTCCTCCTCCCTCCGCCCGGCGCTCTCGGCTCTCTCACCGCGTCCCCTTCGCTTCGACTCTCTGCCGTCGCGGCCGCCCGCCCGCCACAGCTCTTCCTTGCTGTCCTCCTCCCGCCCCGGCTCGGCCGCCTTTGCGGGGGACTCGGAGGCGGTACGATGCCGGGAGGGAACCGCCGCTCCCGTCTCCGCGGCGCGGTGCGCCATGGGCGCGGAGCTGCGCCCGCCTCGTTCCGCTCCCCACCCGCTCCTGCACCGACGGCTCCGCTCCGCTCCTTCTCACCCGGAGGACGGCCGCGCTCTGCGGGACGGGGACCGCCTGTGGGCGGGGATGGGCGGCCGCGGAGCTCCTGGGGCGGAGCTGCGGTCCCCGGTGTCGGTGAAGCGCGAAGCCGGGGCGGCGCGGGAGAACACCGGGACGTGTGGACATTGGGACAGTGGGACAACGGGAGTCAGCGACATGGAAACACGTGTTGTGTGTGGGAGCGAGTGGAACTTACGGAGCTCCACCTGGGGTTGAGTGAGGAACGAGTGCAGGGCTCGTGGGGGAGGATTAAAGGGCCGGCTGATGTGGGGGACACCACTGTGTGTCACGGGGGACTTCAATCAGCTGATATTTGCTGGAAAAGCGACATTGCCAGGCTCACCCTGCCCAGGGTGAGAGGAAGGTAACTTTCTGCTGCAGGAGGTGGAAGAGCCAACGGGGAGGGGCAGCACTGCTGCTGGACCTTGCTCTTACAGACGCAGGAGGGTTGGTTGGGGGTGTGAAGGTTGGGGGCAGGCTGGGACGCAGAGGACATGAGATGGAGTTTGGAAGCATCAGGGCAGTAAGTAGGATTGCAACCCTGGACATCAGGAGAGCCAACTTCACCTCCTGAAGGACTTATCTGGAGGTAATCCCATGGGTTGGAGCATTGGAAGGTAAGGGGCACTGAGGGAGATGGCTGATATTCAAGTACCAAATCTCTGAGCTCAAGATCGGTGCATCCCTAGGAGTAAGAAATCAGGCAAAGGGAGATCCTCATTGGGTGAGCAAGGAGCTCGTAGGCAGACCGAGATGGAAAAAGAAAGTCTGTGGAATGTGGAAAAGGGGAGGGACACGGGGTCCCAGCCAATGGAAGGGCAAAGCCCCGGGCAGGCTGAGGATGCGCACGGGGCTGCAGAGGGCTGCTTGGGGTTCTCGGAGTGGCTTTCTTGGGACTTCTAAAATCCCATTTAAACATTCACCGGTCCTGATTTCAAAAAGTCAGAAGGGAGGACTTTCTCTTACAGCTCAGACAGGAGTTTAAACTGGTTTCCTGAAGGGAAGCCACCCACAGCTTGGGAACTGCAGGCCATCCGCTCTGTTACGCATTGCAGACGCGCCCGAGTTCTGTAAGCAGGAGCAACCCGAGGGCTCCATTCCCCACCGCAGCTCCCAGGCCTGAAGCATCACTGCACGTTTGTTGGAAAGGTGCCCCAAACCATCGCCTGCGTGATGTGATACTTCAGGCTGCACTTCAGTTTGGCATCCAGCAAATCCAACTCAGTTAAACGGCAGCATCACCTGGCTGCAGTCGTTCCAATATTCAGCTGTGCACAGCGAATCATAGAATCATCATAGAATGGTTGCAAAGGAGCACGATGCTCATCCAGCTCCAACCCCCTGCTGTCACCAACCAGCAGCCCAGGCTGCCCAGAGCCACATCCAGCCTGGCCTTGAATGCCTGCAGGGATGGGGCATCCACAGCCTCCTTGGGCAGCCTGTGCCAGTGCCTCACCACCATGTGAAATGAGTGCTGTATGTCTTTTTTTCCGCCCATCAGTCCCTCTGCTAGGAAGGAATCGCTCAGAATTCATGGGAGCTTCAAGCACATCCAGTTCTCTCCCATCATTCCACTCTTGCAGTGGGTTTCACTCACATTTGATGAAGCATTTTTAGGTTTGAGTTCCCATCTCCATACCGTTCTGTCCAACTAGTTTAAGGTTCCTGATTTTGCAGTTATTCCCTCTAATTGGACACCTAAGGAGCCCAACAGTTTGTTCAAGGATGTTCTTGTCAATGCCAAGCTCCTTGCATCACCCACGCCAAGCTGCTGGCAGCCCACTGTGACTCTGGGGCATGAGGAGGAGTGCTGAGCCCTGTCTGTGAATCCGCCCCAAACAAACCTCTGGTCCTGTGGGGGCTGAGCCTGGGGCAGCTTTTCTGCGCCTTGCCCAAGCACCAGCCATGGCTCAGCCAAAGCTCTGCTGTGCTGCAGCTCAGCACGGCAGTGAGGCACAGCACAGTGCCATGGGAGACAGCAAGGCAACGCAGGACAGCAATGCACTGCTGCACAGCACTGCACTGCGGCACGGCGCGGCACCACGGCATGGCAGGGCAGCACAGCATGGCAGGGCAGCACAGCATGGCAGGGCACCGCTGCTAGGAGGCACCAAGGACCCCTGGCCATGTTGCTCTGTCCTCGTCCTGCCCTGGTCCCCCTGAGCCCCTCGAGCACCTCCAACCCTCACCGTGCAGCCATCTCCGTCCCCAGCTGTCCCCTGCCACCTCTCCATCCCACCCTCGCTCCCACCAAGGAACAGCTTAGGTGGAGGCTCGTAGCTTTATTGCAGTACAGAGGGGAAAGGGGGATGCCTCGGGGTCCTCCACCACCACAGCACGCAGCAGGACAGCTTCCCTCCGGGCATCAGCGCTTGGAGAAATCCCCACCTGCAGGACAGGGCATGAGGCGAGGCCGGGGCTGCAACAAGGGCCGGGTTGTGCCCCGATCCCTGCTCACCCTGGCAGCTGCTGCACTCGCAGCTGTGGATGATGGGCAGCACGACAGGCTCGGCAGCGCCACCCGCACAGGGCAGGCTGAGGATGCGCACGGGGCTGCCGGGGTCCAGGCGGTAACTGCAGCACTCACACAGCGTCTGCAGGTACGGCTCCTGCGCGGGCACAGCGCCGCGGCACTGACTTCGTGTGCTGTGCCCACGGAACGGGGGCGGCACCCGGTGCCCACAGACCCACCTCGGGGGTGACGGCGGTGCGGGATGGGCAGCGGCCGCTGCAGAAGCTGACCTCCACGTTGGGCAGTGAGCAGGGACCCTTGGTGATGTTGCGCAGCTCGGTGAAGCGCCGGCACATGGAGGATGGCTCCTCTGTGGGGAGGGGGGCAGAGCAGTGATGCCCCCATAGGTGGCTGCAGGGGGGTCCCCGGGAGAGGGGCTACTGTGGGGGTTCCCCTTGAGGCCTTTACCTGGCCACTCCATCCTGCAGACGGGACAGCAGCGTCCTGGCTCCCGCACCTTCACCTCACCCTGTGGATACAGCAGCATCATAGAACCATAGAACGGCTTGGGTTGGAAGGGACCCCAGGGATCCAACACCCCCCACCACAGGCAGGGCCACCAATCTCTATCTGGCTCTACACACACTTGCTCAAGGCCCCATCCAACCTGGTTCTGAACACCTCCAGGGATGGAGCACCACAGCCTCTCTGTGCAGCCTGTTCCAGCACCTCACCACTCATAGTAAAGAGCTTCTCCCTGACATCTGATCTAAACCTTCCTTCCTTGAGCTTAAAACCACTCTCCCCCTTGTCTTATCACTGCCTACCCTTGTAAAAAAGCTGCTTCCCCTCCTGTTTATAATGCGCTTTTAAATGCAATGAGGTCTCCTTGCAGCCTTCTCTTCTCCAGGCTGGATAAGCCCAGCTCCCTCAGCCCATCCTCTTAGGGAAGGTGCTGCAGCCCTCAGGTATCAGGGAGCCAAGGGGCAGTGGGGGGCAGGAGGAGGACGGAAAGGGCAGTGGTGTGCAGCAGGGGGCAGTGGCGTTGTACCTCGAGGCAGGAGAGCGGCGTGCAGCCATCGGTGCAGTCAGCTTTGCCATCCACACAGCGGCACCTCGCACACCCCTCCGCCCCCCCCCTGCCCGCCCGCCCGGGCGCCGGGGGGAGAGCTCAGCAGTGAGGTGGGGGCACCTCTAGGCACCCCTGGGCACCCCCAGGTGCTGTGCCCTGCTCACCTGGTGCAGCTGCCCCTGGTGCAGGCACTCACAGAGGGCAGAGGGCACACAGTGGCCACTGCTGTTGCGGTAGCGGCCGGGCTCACAGGTGCAGCCAGGGGATGGGGAAGGGGTGCAGCCTGCAGGGGCCTCATCGAGGATGTCCCTGCAGCTCTGCTCGCAGCTTGGTGACACAGCAGGGCCCTGCCAGCGCTCCCCCTCTGGGCAGGCTGCCAGCAGCATGGGATGTGTCACCAGCACCGGCCATGCAGCAGCCCAGCATGTGGAGACCGGAGTGGCCAGGGCTGGTGGCGGACAAACCCGCCCAGGTGCTCGTGCACCCCCAGAGCCTCAGCATCCCACGGTGACGGCTTGCGCCCTTCCTTCACCACCCACCCCATCACCCCTCCCCCATGCTATGCTTAGCAGCTTGATGAGCCACAGCCGTACCTGGGGACTCCAGGGACACTCACCGCAGTCAGGGAGGTGACAGGCAGCCCGGCGCACGGGGGGCCCCACGCACTCAGCCCCCTCATAGAGGCGCTGCCGCAGCGGGTGCCGGTGTGAGAGCTGCTCACCCATCCCACACATCACTGAGCAGGGGGACCAGGGCGACCACGGGGACCACAGGCAATCCACTGCACAGGGAGTGAGCAAGGCCCGGCTGTGGCACAGGGATCACGGCGCAGGCACGGGGATGAGAACGGGTTGCCCTCACCATTGCACTCCTCCTGCGAGCAGTTGAAGGTGCCACGGATGCAAACGCTGCAGACAGAGAGGGGCTCAGCGCCCACCCAGCACCCAGCACCACCCAGCTCAGTGCCCCCTGCTGTGGGGTGATGCTGTGGGGCTGGGGGCACACACCACGTGTTGCAGCGGTGCTGCAGGCGGCTGCCTGGTGCGTGCTCCTGCTCTTGCTCCTCCCGTGACAGGTTGAGCACTCCAGGCATGGTGGGGTCGAGCGTGCAGCGGCACTCCTCAGGGGGTACGCAGGCACCATCCTGCAGCACCTGTGGGTGATGGAGAGCCTGAGGCTGCTGCCCCATCCCCAGAAGCCCCGTGCAGCTCCACAGCCCCACCTGTCCGGGCAGGCAGGCGCATCCAGGCTGGCAGGGCTGTGGGAGGCACTGTGTGTGTGGGCGCAGGTCGGCGCAGGTGTGGGGACAGGTGTTGGCACATTCCCTGAGCACCTGGCTGTGGGGACATTCTGCGGGCGAGGACGCAGCCATCAGTAAGCCCTACCCCCCCCAATTTGAGGCTCCCCGCTTTGTGCAGCCCTTACCCTGCGTGCAGTTGTG